TATTGAACCATACGTGAATTTATTATGATCACAGAAGAGGTTTGACTTAAGATAGAATAGGACAATGCAGTTTCTTAATAAGAATTCGAGGGTGTTTTACTTACAGCTTCAGCTTCTGTCACCTTTTTGCGCGTTTGTTCTTCCGCCCAACCAATGCAGTAGTTTCCGGAGTGTGTTTTTTTCTACCTTGTATTATTATTTTTTACTCAGAAACGGATATGAATTCAAATGTAGCGAAGTAAAATACTTAAAAAAAAATAATTAAAAAAAATTAAGTAAAAGTGCAGATTTTAATTGAAACAAAAAAGGTGACGTACACAAAAAACTACTCAATTACGTAATGCGAGTAAATGTAATTTGTTACTTTCCACCTCTGCAAAGGAATCAGTGTATTGTCCAGCATCAGTGTGTCTGATCTCAGCATCAGTCTCTCTCTACCTCTGGATGTGGAACATCAGGATAACAACACTTACAGCTGTGTGATCAACAATCCTGTCAGAAACCAGACCACACATCTGGACATCAGTCAACTCTACATATTGAAGTACCTTCTCATGTTTGACAGAGTAATTTCCAGGCAATGATTCATGATAGGAAAATCACATAAATATAATTTTTTTATAAAATGTATATTTACATAATCTATTTTACTTCCTTTTTGCTTTTGGTGATTATTTGGTGAAAACACTTTAAGCATTATTGAATGTCGCAATTATTCCCCCGCCCCTGAGGAACTCTCTGCATGTCCCTGGTCATATGAGTGTCATATTTTCTCCCTCTTTATTATTTGGCTTTCAGAAAAAAAAATGTAAATGACATTTAACATCAAACAGAAGTTTGATTTGATTTTTTTTTTTTTCACAACAAAAACATTTAAAACACTATTATATGTTTCACAAAAAGATGTGATGGACAATTGCCGAAAAACCCTCAAAGGGGCTTAATAAGTGGCAATTTCCATAGAAACAATTTTATTTAACTAATTAAAAACATAAATAAAATAAAAATATTTGTATAAAACAATTTCAAATTGCATTTAGAGTACAAACCCATATGGAAAATTCAGACAACTTAAGAGCAACAATTTTACTCTCTGTTTAAACTGTTCTTTAAAACCTCAATGAGTGATGTGGGAAGACTGTTCCATACATTTGACCCTCTGTATAATACACTAAACTGTGTTTGAGTCGTACGAGAATAGGGAGGCCTAATAAAACAACTACTACGAGTCGGATACTGGTTCATTATTAAAAGTAAAAATATTAAAAAAGTACAGGGGAAGTAACTTTTTTAGAGCTGTAAACGAATAAAGCAATTTGAAGTTGATTCACTTGGTAAACACTAAGAATACTTGCCTGAGCAAACAGCGGTTGGGAGGGGTGTCTACGATTTACACAACATATTATTCTTAACGCTCGCTTCTGAAGTCGAAAAATAGATTCCAGTTTAGTTGGATGGGTGCTAGCCCAAGCAACATTACAGTAATTGATATATGGGTACAACATTGAATAATACAACATAATTGCAACTTTTTTGTTATACAGATGCCGGGTTTTTCCTAGTATACCGACCACTTTGGCTATTTTTGTACTTATGGCACTGATGTGAGGTTTCCAGGATAAATAATCATCTATAACACCGAGGAAACGAGCAGATCTAACATTGTTAATGGAGACATTATCAATTTGAACTTTCATTGAAGATTTAAATGTATCAGACTTAATACCAAAAAATATATAACTTGTTTTTTTATGTTGAGTGACAATTTGTTGGACTTGAACCAAGTTTATAACTTGTCAAGTTCTTCATTAACTACCTTTATTAAGATTTCAGTGTTTTTATGGGAGTAAAAAACACTTGTATTGTCTGCAAATAAGATTTTAGAAAGTTTATCTGAGACATTAGGGATGTTGTTTACATATCGTTAGCCTCATAGCATAATTGCCTAAGTCATATTTCAACGTTTTTGGAAAACACGAAAAAACACAATATTTAGAAATCACATTGTGATTTTGTATTGATATTATAACAGTACATTCAACCAGATGTGTGAACAAGTATGCAAAAAGAAAAAGATCCATTACCAATTGCCTCACAAATAAAAGTGACTTAGGCAGAACATGCCATGACTTAGGCATTTTTCTCTTACATATAAATGCAAACATAACATAACAAAAGTGGTTTTTCTCTCTTGGATTTCATGTCCACAGTTAACCATGATCCGATGGTTCTGGGGGCGATGCCAAGTGTTGAACAGAAAAGATTCTTACACACAGGTAGTTTACATCTATCTGCCTGTTGCAGGTGGTAAAATAGGGACGTTGTTCTCCTTGATGCAACACCACCTTTCTTCTGTTTTATGGGCACATTTTCAACTAGAGTCTAGATATACAGCTTGCGTGTCTCCCAGGAGGGCATGCATGGACCAGAAATTGTTGAAGAAATCGGTTCTCTCCTCTTCAGTCAGTAGTTCACAACTTCGTTTCTCCGACTTTTAGCAGTGCTGTGATGTGCAGGGTGGACCCATGGTCTTTGGTGGTCTCTTCTGTCCCATTGTATTCTTGTAACTCTCCCCCTTAAGATGCTTCTCCTTTATCACCTCTTGCTTCCACATATCTGGCCTTGGACGCCTATGACGTTGAACAGCAGCGGTTCCTCTCTGGAGGCTTTACTGGCTGTTTCCTCTTCTATCTGTTGCCCCATGTCTACGTCATTACCTTCTTTCTCAGGTCTACTCTCATCTAAATCCTCTAACTCCACTACATTTCCTGACAATAAAGCAGAACATAAAGTGCTGTTGAATATTTTAACACAATTCATATGTTCACTGCAAAAAAAAGGTAACACTTTACAAAAAGGTAAATTTATTAAACATTATGTATTAACTAACATGAACTTGCAATGAGTAATACATTTGTTACAGTATTTATTAATCTTTGTAAATGTTATTTAATATAGAAATAAAGCTGTTCATTGTTTGTTCATGTTAGTTCACAGTGCATTAACTAATATTAACAAGATTTTAATAAAGTATTACTAAATGTGGAAATTAACATTAACAAAGATGAACAAATGCTGTATAAGTGCAATTCATTATTAGTTAATGTAAATTAATGTAGTTAACTAATGAACCTTATTGTAAAGTGTTACCCAAAAAAAATCTAAATCTTACCAAATTCTTCTTATGTCTAGTCAAAATCTCTAATTTCTAAATGTCTAATTTCTAAAACAAATCTATTTGCCCTTAAAATGAAAAGTAAATGCTTGAAAAATTACTTCCCTTGCCTAAAATTACCTAAATGTCTTTTTATGGTGATGTTCTGACCAGAAATTAGGTAATATTTAGTGTTTGCTAGCTACTTATCTTGTAGCAAAAAAATGTGATTTCAAGTTTAAATACACAGTTTATAATCCCTTTGATTGACTGAAATTACATTTAGTGTCCAGAAAATTTAAGAAATATGAACTCTTACCAGATGAAAACGAATCAAACAGAAGAGCTAATACATCACTTCTGGACATCTGTCTTTCCAGGTTTTTTGCCATTTTGTTTGTATCAAAACTGCCTAAGTCAAAGAGATGACTAAGGCAGATAGTGTTTTTGGATCCTAAGGGTTGTGATTGGCTAAGGACATTGGCAGAAAGGCAGGATGATGCAGCAGTGGAAGGACAGTAAAATTAGGCAGATATCACAATTTGGCAAAAAAATGACTTAGGCAATTATGCTATGAGGCTAACGATATAATAAAAATAACAAGGGACCCAAAATGGAACCCTGCAAGCCACACTGAAGGGGAAGGGGAGGGGATTCTGTCCCATTATAGTTGACAATTTGATACCGGTCTGAACAGACTGATCTCATGAAATGGCGTATGTATGACACGCCAATTCGTATTTCCATTTTTTTTCCTATCAACACGCATAATCGCTTTTCAGCGTGTTTATCAACGCCTTTGACTTAACGTTATATTACTGTATTATGTATATATAAATATATGACCTACCCCAACCCCGTCCCTAAACCTACCCGTCACTGGGGTTAATACCATTTACGAGTCTTCTCCTACCATCCTAGGAAAAGAAATATCGCTCCACAGATGTAGATATAGATTTTGCTTCGTTTCGCTCGGACATTTAACGGCGTACACATAAACGCGGAATCACTCGGACATTTAACGGCGTAGACATACACGCAAAAGATTTCGGCGTGGACATACACGCGGATAGCTCAAAATGCGTATAGATAACACGCCACTTGACTTGAAAGTGGCGTGTATGTTTACGCAAAGTCATGATGTCATGTTGGTCTGAAAGGTAACTGGTGAACCATAGTGACTTGTTTCGTATACCATGATGTGAAAGTTTTTGAAAGATCCAGAAAAATACAGTGCTTTCTTTTCTATCTTTTGTTTTGTATATTTCAGTCAGAAAATGGACAAGTGCCATGTAAGGGGAGTGTTGTTTCCTAAAACCATACTGGTGTGCATATAAAATATTATTTTTGTCCAGATGTTGAATTAATCTTGTGTAAACAAGTTTTTCAAGAACTTTGGACAAAGCTGGTAAAACAGACGCTTAAGGGTGCCATGTGCGTTGGATTTAGACGAAATTTCAAAAGCGCCACTATTTGAAGCCCTAGGATGAGAACGCGTTGAACATACACAATAAAACATAAATTCGGCCAGGTCTTAACATATGAATTAAACATTAGTTCCTTACATTATTGCCTGCTGTGCTAAATGTATTCCGGTCAGAAAATGCACGAATAGTGCAATATTGAATTGAGAACTAATATAGGATTTACTTACTTGCCTGGACTACCTTTTTTAATGTAGAAATTACATTTGTTTTTTTCTGTAGCACAAAGCAAAGAAACAACAGTAAGTAACATAATAGTAACATAATATCCATGAGCCGATCAAAAACATGGCAAATTTTATTTGCTTAAGCTAAAACATTGATGTCAACATTACAGTTATTAAAAGATTTTAATAAAAAAAAAAAACATTGTTTCCATGAAAATTATGAGTATATTACACAGGCAGCTAAAAGCATAAGGAATTTACAAGTGTTCTCAGTGTTTTAACAATTGATCACTGACTGTTGATCCCCATGTACTCATGGCCTAATGTGATCATTAAGGGCTTCTTTTCATGTGAAACTCTTCCCGCACTGATCACATGCACGGCTTCTCTCCAGTGTGGATCCTATGATGTTTTTTTCAGGTTTCCTGACTGACTGAATCTCTTGTCACACTTGTCCCACAATCAAATCACATGTGATTCTTCACACCACTGTGTATTTTCTGGTGTAATTTTAAAGCACTCAGCTGACTAAAACTCTTCCCACACAAATAACACATGTGAGGCTTTTCCTTTGTGTGAACTTTCAGGTGGCTCTTCAGGGATGGTTCTGAAAAATAAGTTTTCCCACATTGATCACAGTAAAACGATCTGTCTCCAGAATGAAAACGTAGATGTGATTTAAGACTCAATGCACGTTTAAAACTCTTCCCACACTGATCACATGTGTGTGGTTTCTCTCCAGTGTGGATCTTCATGTGTCCATTAAGGGTTTCTTTTCGTGTGAAACTCTTCCCACACTGATCACATGTGTACGGCTTCTCTCCAGTGTGGATTCTTAAGTGTACTTTAAAGTGATTTTTATGTGCAAAACTCTTCCCACACTGATCACATGTGTGTGGTTTCTCGCCAGTGTGGATCTTCATGTGTTCTTTAAGGGTTCCTTTTAGTCTGAAACTCTTCCCGCACTGATCACATGTGTGTGGCTTCTCTCCACTATGAACTGTCATGTGAAGTTTAAGACTTGATTTATATTTGAATCTCTTTCCACACTGAGGGCAAGAATTTTTGGCTCTCTTCAAACTTTTTTCTCCCATTTTGACATCATGATGTTTCTCATCTTCTTCACTCTCCTCATTCGGTTCATTTAAGCCTAAAATTAATTAAAACAAAATTTTATTTTCATTCAGCCATTCTCCAAACCAGTAATCGGAGTCGTGGGGGAGTTTATTTTCTGCTTATCCTTAAAAAATGAAAAAGAAATTTCAAGAAATGTCATTAAAAAAACTACTGTAACACCAGAACATAGACAACTGCAACACAATATTATATATAGGCAAAAATCTCATGTTTCTGACACAATCTCTCAGACATTTTGAAAAATTAATTTTAAATGATCCCATTATATAAGCATTAGCCAATTGAATCCAGTCTCTGCTTTTACAAAAAATTTAGAAGTCTATCAGTACTGTTTAATTTATGACATTTAAAACTTCATTTAATAACTTTGTTGGAAAATAAAAGATAGAAAAGAACATTTCAGTTTCAGGCTCCAGTGTCATGTATATTATTTGATACCATGTTATTTCACAGCACTTGTGACTTTTCTAACTACAAGTTATATGAATTTAATATTCATTCATTATTAATGACGAATCAAGAATAAACACCAACCTCTTTGTTCTTCAGTATCTTCATCTTCCATTCTGCAGGGTTCTGGATCACTCATGTTCTCCATGTTCTCCATGTTCAACTGTCTTTTTCACTTGATGGGAATAATCCAGCATTTATATGTGAACTGCATGTGGGAGGAGCTTCACAGTCGAATTTCTGTGGTAGGAACAGCAGATCTGCTAATACCAAAAATGATCAGTTTAGCAAACTGATGTTTTCATTATTGCAATGCACACATTTTAATCATTCAATGTTTTGTTTACATTTCATAGATGGATACAATAGAGTGCCGAAGTTATGACATCACTTTGTAGGCCAAAACGCGGAAGTGAGTTAGCATTTTAGTACTTCCGGTTCCCTTGCCCTAAAGTCTATGGGTTTTTGCTAAATCGCCTGAAAGGTCTGTGGTTAACAAAGCCTCTAAATATTTTCACGTTTTGATCTATGACATAAAACACCAGTTATAACCTGCTTGAGGTTTTTTAAACTTTATATAGGCTTCAAAATGTATACATTTTGGATTAACTTGTAGTGATTATCTTGATAGACAAAACGTGTAAGGGTCACAACTCCTTGTTGAACACAGATCTTATTTTTTGCGATTTTCCAAAAGTCTATGGGGAAAATGCATAGCTTTTCGATCAAGGGAACCCATGCACCGCTAACTTCCGAGTTGTCCTGCAAAGTGAGGTCATAACTTCGGCACTCTATTACAATACTGACTAAGCATCTAGAGGGGAAAAATACCCACGCAAGACTGTTGTTCATAGACTTTTCTTCCGCTTTTAACACTATACAACCCCACATCCTAGCCAGAAGATTGTTAGAGTATTATAAGTTGAACCACAATTTAGTGGGATGGCTACTGGATTTTTTAACAAATAGAATGCAGAGGGTAAAAGTGAATGGTAGCTTTTCTGATGTATTATTTTTATCCACAGGATCACCACAAGGCTGTGTTCTTTCGCCCTTATTATATCTTGTATACTAATATGTGTCAAAGTGTATATGAAAATAGGATACTAATCAAGTTTGCTGATGATACAGTGATAGTTAGTCTGTTACAAGGGGACGAGTCTGGCCATGGTCCAGTTGTGGAGGATTTTGTGACCTGGTGCGATGATTCCTATCTAAAGTTGATAATAATTGATTTTAGAACACGCACCGTTGATCACGTCACTACGATTATTAAAGGACAGACTGTGGAACAGGTGGAGAGTTATAAATATCTTGGTACAGTTATAGATTCAAAACTTTTATTTGAATCGAATTGTGATATGGTCTGTAAAAAGGGTCATCAACGTTTGAGATGCCTTAGGAAACTTGCAAAATTTCACATCGACAGACGTATGTTGACTTTGTTTTATTTCGCTTTTATTGAATCTTTTATGTCTTTTTCCATAGTGGTGTGGTATGGAAGTCTGTCAGTGAAGAACAGAAACTCCTTAAACCAAATTGTAAGATGGGCGAGTAGGATAATAGGAGTAAATCAAAGGAACCTAGGAAATATATACACAAATCAGCTGTATCGGAAAGCTGATATGGCAAGACCATTAGCCAGTTCAGAATCATCTCGCTTTTAAGCGTTGAAGGAAAGATCTTCTTCAGCATAGTTGCGAAGCGGTTGGCAGAGTTCTTCCTCAAAAATGGATACATTGACACCTCTGTGCAGAAAGGTGGCATACCAGGTGTTCCAGGCTGCCTAGAGCACACAGGCGTGGTTACACAGCTCCTCAGAGAAGCAAAGGAGAATAGGGGTGATCTGGTGGTGCTGTGGTTAGACCTGGCTAACACCTATGGCTCTATGCCCCACAAGCTGGTACAGCAGGCTCTGGAGAGGCACCATGTTCCTGCCATAGTGAGAGACCTTATCCAGGATTACTATAGAGATTTCAAGCTGAGAGTCTCATCTGGGTCAACAACATCAGAGTGGCACAGGCTGGAGGTGGGAATCATCACAGGCTGCACCATTTCAGTGATCCTGTTCGCTCTGGCAATGAACATGTTGGTGAAATCTGCTGAACCGGAGTGCAGAGGGCCCAAATCCAAGACTGGAATGCGGCAACCACCAATCCGTGCTTTCATGGATGACCTCACAGTGACAACGGAGTCAGTGCCTGGAGCCAGATGGATCCTGAAGGGTCTGGAGAGGGTGATTGGATGGGCCAGGATGTCATTCAAGCCAACCAAATCCAGATCTTTAGTGCTAAAGAAGGGCAGGATGGTGGAGAAGTTTCGTTTTATCATCTCAAGAACTCAAATGCCGACCCTGTCTGAAAAACCAGTAAAAAGCCTGGGAAAGATCTTCGACAGCAGCCTCAGGGATACAACATCCATCAAAAACACCTGCGAGGAGCTGGAGAGGTGGCTGAAGAATGTCGATAAAACTGGGCTCCCTGGAAAATTTAAGCCATGGGTGTACCAACATGGGATTCTGCCAAGAATACTGTGGCCTCTGCTTCTGTACGAGTTTCCGATCTCCACCATCTCAGAACTAGAAAGGAGAGTCAGCCGCTACCTAAGAAGATGGCTGGGATTCCCGAGGAGTTTAAGCAGTATCGCCCTTTATGGAAACACCTGCAAGCTGCAGCTCCCGCTAAAATCCATCGAAGAGGAGTTCAAGGTCTTGCGTGCAAGAGAGGTGCTGCAGCTCCGTGAGTCTAGGGACCCCAAAGTGTCTGGGGCAGGTGTAGAGGTCAAGACGGGCAGGAAATGGAGGGCAGAGGCGGCAGTAGACCAGGCAGAGTCACGGCTGCACCATGGAGTCCTAGTGGGAGCAGTGGCCAGAGGAAGGGCTGGGCTAGGAACCTTTCAAGGGCCCCGGTTCGACAAGGCTCGGGGGAAGGAGAGGAGGCAGCTAGTTCAAAGTGAGGTGAGGGCGGCGGTGGAGGAGGAGAGGTCCCGCAAAGCAGTGGGAATGGCACGTCAGGGTGCCTGGATTAGATGGGAACAAGCTGTGGAGAGGAAGATCACGTGGACTGACCTTTGGCGGGCAGAGCCACACCGCATCAAGTTTCTAGTCCAGGCAGTCTATGACGTCCTCCCCAGCCCGTCCAACCTGCACACCTGGGGGCTGGTCGATACACCAGGATGCGCCCTGTGCCAGAGAAAGGGAACCCTTGAGCACATCATGAGCTGCTGCCCAAGAGCTCTGGGGGAAGGCCGATATCGCTGGCGGCATGACCAGGTGCTCAAAACAATTGCAGAGAGCATCCAGGTTACTATCAGCAGCTGCCGGAGGTCAAAGCCCTGCAAACAAACCATCAGCTTCGTCAGGGCCAGAGAGAAGCCAGGAAAATCTCTCAGGACAACAGCAGGGCTTCTGAACACGGCACAGGATTGGCAACTGAAAGTGGACTTGGGCAAACAACTTAAGTTCCCCCAGCATGTCGTCGAGACCACCCTGAGACCTGACATTGTCGTGATATCAGAGGCAACAAAGAACCTGGTCATGTTGGAGCTCACTGTGCCATGGGAAGACCGAATGGAGGAAGCCTTTGAGAGGAAGAAGGAGAAATATGATGGCCTCGTCAGCGACTGCCACAACCAAGGCTGGAAGGCAAGGTGCTTCACAAGGAAAATGTTCAGTCGGATAAAGGGAACAAAGAGTAGCTATTCCATGAGAAAACTTTAGTTAAGGTTTAGTTGGGAAAGTTCATGGTATTTTTAGTCTCACAATGGAGGATGTTTAACCCCCTGAGGTCGGATGACGCGCGGGCGCGTCAACTCAATGTTTACTCAATGTTTCTATTAATATCTCCGCGATTGTGCAGCACACATAAATGGTTCTGATTTTGCCGTAATCGACAGATTCTCAGCTTCAACGTCCTTATACTCGCGAGATCATATGTGACTCACACAGAGAGCAAGAGGGAAGACAAGATGGTCATTCACCGTGCGTGATTGGTGGGCTAGCTTGCCTGTCTGCATTTTGTGTGAAACCAACCAATAGATGCGGTTGAAATCCCTAAGTACCCTCCCATCTCCTCACAGTGAGGAAAATACCAGCTGACATGGAGAGAGAAAGAGTAAAAAAGTCCGCGAAAAAAACATGGCAAAAATATATATAAAGAAGAGGAAAAGTAAGAAGAAGACGAGGAGAGAAAATGGCGAAGACATTGACATTGAAAGACGCACTTGCGGCGATTTTGGATAGCAGCGACGAGGATGAAAGGCGAGTTTCCGAGCCTGATGGATTTTCTTCTGATGAAGATGAGGATTATGATCACAGAAGAGATCCAGTTGAGGACGGGTAAGCGTATTTATTTTATAAAAACCTCGTTCGCATAGTGACCATCTTGGCTAAAATAAGCTGCGCTGTGCTGCTTTGACAAATTAGCCGCGTTTCCACTGCCGGGCCAGGGCCGGGCCGTGCTAGTGCGTGCCAGGGCCAGTCGCGTTTCCACTGTCACTTCCGGGGCTTGATCGGGGCTTACTCGGGGCCAACGGCC